AGGGGGGGAACGTCAGGAAAAGTTACTGAGAACCAGAGCTGGGAACAAGCAGCTGCCAACAGCAAGGGCATGTTGGTATTTGGGGGTTTAAACATGCGAAAGGGGGATGCACAAACAGCCCTGCAGAGCACAGCAGAAAGCAGAGTCTCTCCACAGCTTGGGTACAGGACCGGCAGGGGCAGAGTGCCAGGCCACCACCACGCGTCTGCCCCCAACCCCAGCAGCTCCGCAGCTCTGCTTTTGCTCCACCCATCCACAGCGGGTACGTGCTGTCCGGGGAGCGAGGGGAAGGAGGCTGAGGCCCACGTGCTCGAGTAGCTGTTGGGAGAAGCCAGCTCCACAGACGTTGACCTTGTGCAGGACTACCACCTGCGTAGCCGCACTCTTCCCGTCCTACAACGTCTAAGAGGGGAAAGAGACCTCATCCAGGGGAAGGGCTGCCCTTCTCCCCTGCACCCTGCTGAGCTCCCCCAGCTCTGCACCAGCTGGATGGGATACCAAGCTCTTCCTAATAAAGACAAAGCAGCACTGCCAGCATCGCTCAGTGTGTTTAATCAGACCCATCTCTTTAAGAGGACTGCACAAATGAAAGCTGACACAGTCCTGAATCGCAGCGCTGTACGGAGAGGAAATCCAGGCTGCCTGGCCCTGTTTGTTCCAAAACCAGGCAAAATGAGAACTGTGATCCTTGCAGAGAAGCAAGGCAAGGCATCCCTGCGGGACTCTACCCCGCCGCCCTCACTGATCAGCTCTGCTAGAGAATCAGCAGCAAGATTTCAGCCTGGCCACGGATTTGCTTTCATCTGGGAACGTCCTCTTTAGGTAGCCTTTTGACCACACACGGCTGCCAGCACTGCGAACGCCTGTTGCCCTCAGCTGCACACTTCCCAGCACTGCCAGCACAGGGGAACCGGGAGCCGAGGGGCTGAGACTTTGTTGTTTCCCTCCAGAGGCGCAGACGGCTCCGCTGTGTGAACGCAGGGAAGCCGGCAGCCCCATCTGCCCGGCCAGCAACCCAGCGTACGCCAGAGCGCCTCGAGAGGAGGCTGGGCCCCTAGTAAATGCCGTAGGTGGGCTCCTCGGTGTCTCGGTATCTGTCCAGGTACCTCAGAGGCTGGTGGCGCGGGAACTTTAACTGTGGAGGATGGTAAACGGGCGGTCGCACGAATTCAAACACAGGCTCTCTCATATCTGTAAAGCGGCGATGCAGAACGTTAGCAAGATGGCTCAGATCCAAACCCCAGGCCCTCCCCTTCACCAGCAAGGGCCCCCACGCGCACAGGGCTGGTCAAGCACGCCCTGGTGGAGGCTCTCTCAGTGTTACTTTAAAACGCTCATACAAAACAGCCTTTTACAGGTTGTTTCCTCAGACTGCTGTTAGTGTGGTGGAGGATGGCTCGGCAAGTATCCAGTCTGTGCTGTAACAGATCCCAGACGAGTGCCAGGACCAAGCAAGAGCCTACAGCCACAGCTCGCTTCGCTGACCCCGTGCTACCCGCAGGGCCACGTCCCAGCCCACAAACAGCCCGCCTCCAGCACCCCTGCACGCTGTATTTCTTACTGAGGAGCTGATGGAAAACCCAAGTAACGGAGCTGTCCCACTGACACTGGAAAAACGCCAGCCCTGCCGGGGTCATTGCATCCTCGTGCTTTCTGTAGAAGTCAAACGTGCTAAAGGTTCGCATCTTGAGGCTGTGGCTGGAAACAAGACACAAGCACAAGAGCTGAGGTGAACCTCTTTTCCTGCAGCACCCTGGTAGGCAACTACTTCTCCACATCACCCCAGAGTCTATAAAACAGAGGTGGAAAAGGAAGCCACCAAAAGAAAATCTCCCAGCTTCTCCAGCTCTGTGCACGTCTCTGCCCCAGGCAGGGCAAACCCCTTTCTTAACAGCCTGGTTTAAAGCAACAGGACTTTGCAGTGCTTGCAGGGCTGGGATTGAGGCTTCAGGTGATACAACAACTCAAAGGAGGCCCGAACAACCCTGCAGGTTAAAAGGAACCGCTATCCTACAGTGGTAACAAGTACGTCATCATAACAAGCCTCGCTAAGCGAGTGTGAAACTGCCCAGTGAAAGCCTGAATTACCATGGCATCGGCCGAACGTCCTCACTGAAATCTATGGGGCAGTCTTGCTTGAAGAGGAGGAAGATGAAGCGATGGTAGCCAGTTCCCATGGCAGGGAAGGGGGGCAAGTAATGGCAGATCTCCTTACCCGACTTGATGTCATTCCCCGGGATGTTCGTCCTGAACACAAAGAAGTTTACTTCACTATACATCCATTCATTTCCCTCCACTGGGACCAGCAGATTCACCCAGGATTGCAAGTCACACTGTGCTACGTTTTGACGTGACTTATGCCTTGTCTGACAAGTGAACAGATAGTAGAGGCCGCCTTCACTGGAAGAAAATCACACCCAGTGATGTGAATGCCAACCAGCAGCAACACCTGGAACTACCGCATCCCTAGCAGGACCCGGAACACAGGGGTAAAGAAGCTGATGGCACGAGCACCAGAGAAAGCCGCACAACTGCCTTAGCGAACGCTTTATTCCCGACCTCTGTTGGAGGAGTTTCTGCCCGCTTTCCCCGAGCTAAGCAGCACGCGGCTCTGATGTGCAGTACTCACACCAGCCAGTGGAGGTACTCCGAGTCGGCGTCTCTCAAATGTCCGTCTGCAAACGCACACAACAGAGAAAGGCGACTTAGTGACAACCTGGTGTTTGCGTTAACCCCAAAGCGAGAACACCCAGACCCCCTCTGAACAGAGGGGACGGCTCAAGACCTCCCAGAAATCCTCTCCTAGCAGAAAAGCAACGCATTCTTACAGGACTGAGCTTAAAATGAGGAGCAAAGAACTCTGAAGATGTAATTCCGAGATTAAAAGGACTCCTCGGTCAGCTGCTTCACTTCACTGTGCCTTGGTTTCTCAGGGTGAACAGCATCAGCTAACCTACAGGCAGACTGCCAAGGGAGAGGAGTTTGGGGGTAAACAAAAGAAGGGAGGGAGTCAGGGAATTGTTTCCTCCACGCTGTGACACAGGCCCTGTTGCGTCACTGTCCCATCTCTCAACTGCCAGAGGTTTGGGGAGGCTACGATCCTTCCTGCATATGTAATATGTCCCTACTTCGCAAATATCACATCACCTCTAGCTGTGCAGCCAAAAGAAACAGGAGCTAACCAAAAGCAGAGTGAAACAACCCAGTTTAAACATGTTTTTTTTAAAGAACTCGCTACTCACCTGGATTTGTGAGCAGCAAAGTCCAGAGGGAGCCTTTATCTGCCTCGTATGACACTGCAGGGGGACTGGAAGCCTAAAACAGCAACATAAAGAGAACGTAAATCACTCAAACGACAGGTTCCGTTAAGACCAGATCACGATTCCCAAGGCAAAGAACATGGACGCGTCACAGGCACGGCCAGGGTGCAACACAGACTGGGCCCAGCCACGCCACCGAGTAATCCAGCTCCACCTGGAGAGCCCCCAGAGCGATAATAAACATCAGCCTGCCGACAGACAACGATCCTGT